ACTTGTAAATACACTAAAATCCAATACTCAAATATTTAAATTAAATCACAAAATAACACAAGATTTCTCACGTATCAATACACATCAATCCAAGCCATCATATTCATAAATAAAATGAAAAGGAAGCTTACGATTAAATACGAATCCAATGTCGAAAATCCACGAATAATCTAAATCCAAAAGCTTAATCTTGGTGTTTCACAATCCAAGATCGATTCTAAGTGAAAGATAAAAGAAAACAAGGTTCTAGAGTGAAAAAGTCGAAAATACAATCTCAGAATGATGATGAACGACCGAAAATGAAGTCTCCATCCATAAGATAAAACCCTCGCTCGATCCTCATTAAACGCTTATGGTTTAAAGTTTTTTTAAAATTTCAGGCGCCGTGGCGCGAGGCTCCACCGCGGCGCGACACAGTACCTCACCGCGGCGCAAAGCAGACGGCACGGCGCAGCAGAAGACCTCACCGCGGTGCGAGGCAGGGCGGCACGGCGTGGTGGAGGGCTTTATCGCGGCGCGGCATCGTCGCTGCACGGAGATATCAGGTGCAACCTCGCAGTCCAGGTCGCGGCACCTTCGCGGTGCGGAGATCTTGTTACCATCCTACTGCCGCGCGCGGCAGCTGAAAGAAAGCCAATACTCGGGTTGATCCGTGTCAAAGGCCAAAACGGACGCTACTCGATTATTTGACTAGCTCCAAACGTGTGACGAAAAACCTGAATCTGCACACCACCAAAGACGAAAGAAAAACACACGAAAACAGGCAAGAGAACAGAAGATATCGAAAACGAGAATAAACGAGAAACACACGAAACGAACGACTGGTGGACCAAAAGAACTAAAAGATTCCTAAAAACGGGGGTAAAAACTAAAAATAACCAAAGAAAAAGATAACAAAAATAGAACAAACAATCCCAACTCGAGTCAAGCTAGAAAAACTCAAGATGAAATCGATCTTTAACTTGAACTGCTCACGAATCGGTCTGTCCATCTGTAACCCTACTTGAGACTCAAAGACATTTAGTAGTTTTTTCGAGGTTTTGTTTAAAAGGTCAATCTCATAAAATTGTTGGGGCCTTCATTGAGTCAAATCGATTTCGGTATTCGGCCCAGAGTATGATAATCCCTATTAAGCCCACCTCGTGATTTTCTCCCATGCCTGAATCATTATATACTCACATGTAGAGTTGTTAAACTAAACTAGGTGTTCGCGTGCTCGAGCTCGGCTAACTTCATTTGATAAATGAGAAAAGTCGCTCAATAAGGCTAGAAAATATGGGTTTTATGTAATTTTTATAACTGGACTCGTTAATATTAATAAACGAGCCAAACTCGAGATCGTTTATCAGCTCATTGAGTTAACAATAAGCGAAGCTCAATTCAACTCGATAAAGGCTCAAGTCCAAGCTTGTGTATTAGGAGCACGAGCTCAACTCGACTTGTTTACACCTCGACGAAATATTAATATAGGAATAATAACTTGTGTAAATTGCAATTTTAGACATGTATGTTTCATTACCTTAACTTTTTCGTCCTCTTCGAATTGCGTTTGTTATATTCGTTCCGCATGTTTGCAAAACGGTTACAAAAGGTCATTTTCATACATAAAGAACGAAATTGGAACCTTTTTTTACAAAACATAAAAGACATTTTTGTTGGGAAAATGATCTTCTTGTAATTTTTTTGCAAATATATGAGACTAAAATAAAATACGCAATTTAAAAATAACGAAAAAGTTAATGTATTGAAACATACATAACTAAAATTACAATTTACTTTCATAACTGATTCTTTCGAATAACTTAATTTGAGCATTGAGGGACGCTTGTAGTTATCATGATTGCATATATTGCGTGCACTCAAACTGTCAAACATACTAAAGACAAAGGAATAAAATGTCCAGATTTAATTCTTTGAGAGAATATTTATGTTGGAAAGAAGCAATTTTTGTGAGGATGAAAGTCTTGAAACTTGGAAAACAATAACTGGTCGTAACAAAGGTTTTTTTTTTTTTATCATTATGTGGTAGGGCACTTCACATTAGAGATTTGGTTTTAGCAAACACAAGTCGCAATTTAGTAATAATGGACCAAATGATTACTATTGTATACAGTATTATGCAAAAATTCTATGGAGCCATCGGATGGTTTTCTTATGGAACCATCCACTAGTTAATGTATTGACACCTGTCCAAAATGTATTTATTGTAATTCTATGAAGCCATCGGATGATTTTCTTATGACTCCATAACAAAATTGTAATATTATGTATATGGAGACGAATCCCACAATTTGGGTTCAACGGACTGTTTGATTCCCTCTCTAACACATCTATGTATAAATTGAGCTATCCCAATGCTAACAAGGATTTATATTGGGCTAAATATTGAGGAAAGCATAACTCAATGGGCCGAAACATTGAGTTGGACTACACTTATGGGCCGAGTGTATACAAAAACTAATGTAATGAAATCGTCAAATTCGCAGGATGTACTTTTTTCTTTCTAACGATACCACAAAATTAAAAAAACAAAAACGAAAAAAAGAAAAGAAAAGAAAAAATGCAACAACGTTCGTTCTAAAACGAATAAGCATTACAGATGTTAAATGGTCTTTGGTCCGACGGGCCGGCCCATTTAGCCCAGAAAAAAATAGGGTTGGAGCCTTTTATTGGCAGTCCGTTTAAATTCGGGCTTTTTAGATCCGGACCGTTTAGCCCAAAGTCCGCTAGGGCTAGTTCGAAAACCGCTAGGGCTAGCCTGTTTAACTTGAGTTGGTGGTGTATATGTTTTTAGAAATGTAAGGAATATGTCCATTTGTTTCTTGTATATTATAATTTTGTTATTCTATTTCACATGTGATTATGAGTTATAATATATTATTATTATTTTGATATATAATTATTGACAAATTTTATTCTATTTCACAGCAAAATATTTAAGTCAATCAGAACGACTAATAAAAAATAAATGAAACAAAGACCTAACATATAGAATATAGTGATAGAATATAAATTCAATAGTATGTTATATTGTGAAAATTCCCGAAGCGTACCAAATAACTAGTCAAATTGTACTTATAAATAATAGTTCGAACATTTTTTTTCTCTATTGAGAAACAATATGTTATTTAAAAGTTTGTATTGTGTGTTCATATATGAAGTGTATTTGTATATAATATATATAGTAGTAAATACTAAATAGCCGTTGAAAAAAACCGTTAACTAGGTGTTGTAATTTTTTATTTTTATTATTATTATTATTATTATTATTATTATTATTATTATTATTATATATCCCGTATAACCCGTTTAGCCCGAAGCCCGCTAGGTTTAGGATTAGGTTTTTTTATTGATAGCCCGTTTAAATCCGGGCTTTTTAAGTCGGACCGTTTAACCCGAAGCTTGCTAGGACTAGCCCGAAACCGCTAGAGCTAGCCCGTTTAACATCTCTACTAAACATACCTTCTGAACATAGTGGTGATTTTTATTTTTATATTTTTGTATAATAATAATATGATGTGATTTCATTTATATTTGTAGTTGTATCTCGATCGTTTGTTCAATGTACTATCTAAGAGCCTGACAAATAAAAACTTAGCCTAAGGACCACAAAGACACCATACATTTTTTTAATAATTAATATAATGAGATTATTCTTTACTCTAGATCACTCCAAATCATGACAATTAAATCCTCATTCAGATAATTACAATCATAAGAATATATAATTGTGCTGCTTTCGTCATTGAAGTTAAAAACTTGTTTTTTTCCCTAACACCTTAATCTTAATTAATTCTTAATGTCACATTCTCTTATACGAACGATGATGCATAAAGGATAAAGTAGTTTACATGCAAGCCGTTTTTTATATCAATTTAGTTTTGTTTTTCTTGTTGGAATAACTCACCAATTGCTTACAAGCCTTATTTGAATAATCGACGACACAACAATTTAGTGGTGACGTATTATAATCCTGATAATGATATATATAGATAAGAATACAATATAGATACATCAACTATTTAACTAATATTGTTCTCCTTTTCCATACCTCTGTAGACAATATTTGGGCGCTTTTATTGATAGATCAATCTTAACAAATCCGAGGATTATATAATCTATCATTATATAAAAGGAATAACCTTTTAACACATTTAGAAATATTTTTCCGCCAAAATCATTAAATATACTCTATATATAGTAATTGTTGGACAAATCTGAATAGGCAAAAAAATCGGCTCATTAATTGTGTAAAGATTTGCTTCTCTTTTTCCCGTTTTTTAGTTTATCAAAATCGTTGTTTGACAATAAATATTTGTTTTTCTTTTTCCTATTTTTAGTATAAATCTACACGAGTTACAAAATCCTATTGCTTATCTCTTCTGTTACAAAATCTCATTGCATGCATCTCACGTGTTTTAAAAATCTCATCCCTTATCTATAAAGATTTGAAAAAATAAAATAAAATAGAAACCAATTCATAATTACTACTAGAAATCCATTATCTTTAAAAAGAAAAATGTAAAATAAAATAGAAACCAATTCATAATTATTACTACTAATATTTTTACAAATATTATAAGCTAACCATACAAAAAAGTATAATAATAATTTTGAAATGGTGTGTAATCAAATTTTTTTATATTCCCTTATACAAAATAATTTTACATTGTTTGACCCTGAATCTTTAATTTATAATTATTAAGTATTGTTTATCCTCCTCTTTAATTTATGATTATTTTTTTCTTCCTCTTTTTAAATAGGATCAATAGTAGTTTCCACTTCCGCCATTAAGTGACTCAAACTCGATGTCTATTTATAATATTGTTAATTTAATATTATTCCCGTGCATCGCACGGGGTACACACTAGTATGAAGTATCAATCTTAAATTTTTATATATGCTCATTTGAATTCCAATAATTTATATTCAACAAAAATTCAAATGCTAATAATAATAATAAAATTACAAGACAAATTTATTTTTCTATAACCTACTTTCGCCATAGGTAGATACATGTACCATACATCAAATATCATCATACAAACACTTGCACATGACTAAATACACACCGTAAAATGGATACATAACCGATGCTTCACATATAATTATTTATACTTCTAACAAAATGCAACATAAATACTCATTATTAGGCTCCACAATAAGCCTTTAGGGCAGCTGGTGAACTCCGACCAGCTTCAGAGTAATAAAAATCAAGAAATTTAATATGATCGAATGGCTTAAAAAGCAACGGGTGATCTTCATCTACCATCTCATCTGGTGCCTTAATTATGTAACCCGATTTTGGGATCGAAAATAATCCGATTGAGTACCTATTTTCTTCTCCGGTCATCATCACCTTGTGGTACGGTGAATGCAGGCGGCCATTTGTCCATGCCTACAAATTTTAGTTAAGATGAACTAATCATGTATGAAACACATTTTTTACAAATCTTAAGGACATTACTTAAATAAAATTAGTTGAATTCATGTAAGTTAATTGATTGCTAAATTGTTTTTAGTTTATACATGACTAAGATACAATATTCTATGTTGATCCATAATAACTAAATTTAGTTTTAACAAAATCATGAAACACAAGTTTGTAAACTATGTTTAAGTAAAAATACACAAATGGAATTGTTAAGTCGCATAACCATTAGTTATTCTTTATTATAAAAAAATGTATATGAAACGTCATACTTTGTTCATATTATACTTTAAAGTATAACATTTGACAGAAATTTTATAATCAGCAAATGACTCCCTTACCAATCAATTCACGAATGATGAATTGATGTATAGACAATTTTCCAAGTATATTTATTTTAGAACAACTATGAATACACCATTCGTGAAATACCGTGAATAAGATTCATATGTTGTGTCATCTGAGAATTGTATAGTAAAAATGTGATATTTGAATATAAAAATATGTATATTTATTGAAATAGTATTATTGGGTAACTGCTAACCATCCTAAAATAAGAAATATCATAAAACTTACATGGAAGGAGTCTCCAATCATGACAATGAATGAATTAAGTGAAGGCTCAGCATTTATCCATTTCCCATCTTTTGTCAGCACTTGTAACCCTCTAACTTCATTTCCAAACAATATGGTGACGATGTTTTTATCCGTATGGGCCGTCAGTCCAAGCTTAGGTTCATGGGTTTTAGGCCCATCGTACTTTTGGACCCGCACTAGGTAATTTGTTGAGCCCAAATGCTCGTCCATGTATTTTTCCAGCCCAAGACTTTCCAAGACCATTCTCCTCACAATCTTGTCCAATTCGGATAATTGCTCGGAAAATGTTTCTATAGCCTCGCTATCGAGAAATTTAAGGAGATCAAGAGAAGTTTCAAGTACTCAAGTCAATGAAAACTAGTTATCCACTGTACATTTTAAAACCAGCATTTTCTGAAAGAAAAAAAAATCCAATAAATATTCCATAACATTGGACAAACCACAATATTGTTCAGTAACTTTCCATTATATAAAATTGTCACTGATAAGTCGTATTCTTGGCATGTTACTTGTTACATTTTCTATACTTTTTCGGTGTTTGTTTGAACTTAATTATTGATTTTAATTTATTTTCATATTTTTTGTAGGATATCTTGGAGTTTCTGATATTATGATGTTGGAGGGTGAAAGAGATGAATTTGAGATAAGGCGTGGACACGCCAATTTCCTACTAGAGTTGGAAGAAGGAAGGAGTGTCAAGTTGGAAAGAGAAAGAATAGAACTTTATGGAGTATTTATTTATTTATGGACTATTATATTTTATTAAGATATTTTTGGAGAGAAAATGATCTCTTTATTTTCTATGTACTTTCTTGGTAGGATTAGGATTAGACTGGTTTGATTAAAAATCAGACTGCTAGATCTCTCTTTTGGTAGGATTAGGATTAGACTGGTTTGATTAAAAATCAGACTGCTAGATCTCTCTTTTTCTCACGTGCTAGATCTCTCCTTTTCTCACGCACGCACGCGCACGCCGCTCATCTTCTCTTCTTTTCTTTTCTTCTTTTCTTTTATTTTTCATGAATAATTGGGAGAAGACTCTCATGTTTATGAATGACTAATTTATTTTTTCATCCAAAGGATTATTCTAGATTTGGTTCTTCATGATTTGTGAGATCTAATTGAATTTATATTCCCTCATTCTCTTTTATTTATATATTTCTTGTGATTATTATCAAATGTGTTCCGATTAGTTGATGCAAACTGGTCATTTATTCGATTGTTGAAACGCATATCCTTATTTATAATGGTTAAATCCGTAATTGTTTGACTGTTCTAATATTTGTGGTAAATAGCATATTTGACTACTAAGAGTTTTCAATTGTATGCTTAAGGAGATATATGATCTAGTCTAAATGATCCTATATGTGCGTTTGTTGGCTGAATTGGTGGTCCTTCTATATTTTAATGTTGTTGATAGATTAAATCCTATGATCGTATATAGGGTTGTCTGTTGATTAGAGAAATAATTAGAGATCGTATCTGATTATCCAACAAGTAAGGAAGAATAGGTTGTTGGGTCGTACCAATAACCATAACCAGTTAGATTTTGAATCACTCGTTTTCTTTTTTCGTCTCCAGTTAGATTTTATTTTGTTTTAGTTTTCGTAGTTAGATAAAAGCATCAATACCCCCATCATTTTTATTTTTATTTATTTCACCAATAGTTGCATCAATACTTTGTCTAGCGAATCCCTACGGATACGACCATACTTACCACTGCTACAGTTATTTTTAAAGCAAAAATTTATTATTGTTGAATTCGACACCCATCACTGCATAATAAAAATCCATCACAACAATCTAAATGATGCCAAAATGAAACAATTCAAACAAAAAGTACCCACTAACTAATTGCACAAAGTTGCAAAAAATGTCCACTGGCTCACGTATTTAGCCAAAATATTTGCGATTTGATTGATTAGCTTGCATTTTGTGGAATCACTAAAAGTTTACTAGAGAAAATTGTCCATTCATTCATGTATTTGGATATAATATTTGCGATTTGATTAATTACAGGTGTTTTGTACAACTACGAAAACTACTGACAAAATAATTGTCACACGCACCAAGTTATTGAGTATAATTTGCAATTTCTAAATATGAATATCATGACAGAAGTAGATTTTTTATTTTTTAGTTTACATACCTGAAAGTTGGATTTCCTTGGGCCCACATGAGATTAGTGAAGCTCTTGATTTTACCAGGTGAGAGTGCGTCCTGTAGCCCAAGACTTTCATAGAGTGGAACCATGGCGTATTGGCCCACGTAGCCATGGTAGGGCGTGTTTGACCTGTTGCGTAATTTGTTCTCCAGAGGCAGATCAAACAGCTGTTTTAACCCTTCGATTACCGATTTTCGGAGGTTAATTGGGACACGATCAAACGTGGCCTCAAAGCAGCCGTATTCTTGCAGGGCTTCCAGGACTTGGGCTTTCACGGCCTCCCATGTTGGACTTTGTTCTTTAATGTTTGAGAAATTTATGAGTGGGAGCCTTATGTTTTCGGAACTCACAACTTTTGCTTGCATTTTTTTTTTTTTTTCNGGTTTTTAGAAGATGGATCAAAGATGTAGATATAAATGAATGGTGGTATTGTACGTACATGTCTTATTTGAATTTCACATATATAATGTTACTCAATTATACTTTTTTTTTTTAGAGATTTGTCTACTTTAATATTCAAAACTAGTACGTGGATGGTGCGTTACAGACGGACCTACATGGATTTCAGGAGCCTGTAGGCGCCCCTCAATTTTTTTTTAAAAAAAAGTTATATATATAGTTATATACAAATAAAAAAGAATATTATAAATATGAATAAAAATGTAAAAAACATGTAGAATATATAAATAATTAAATTTATTTTCAATGCTATTTTAATTTAAAGTAATAATGTTATTTATTTATTAAAAACTATACTAACAATCTTTATATTTTACATTTCTAGATTTATTTTTGAAAATGATATAATAATTTACTCTTTCGGCCTCTTAATTTTAAATCAATTTAATGATTTATAAAACCTAGAATTTAGTTGGATTGTTAGATTTTTGAATGTTGATCGATTGTATATTTGAATGTTGATTTTTTACTTTTTTTATGTAATCACATATTTTCAACTTTATTTATTTTTTTATTAATAAAATGTTCATTTGATAAATTCTTATCAACAAAAAATGTTATGGACTTATGCAATGTGTTGCAAAAGTTCAATGTAAATCAGACTTTGAACAAAAAATTTATTTTTTTTCATAAATTATATATCTTAAACTTAAATTATAAATACACGAAATCTCATTATTTTCTTGCTTAAAAAAAAGTTTGAGGGTGATATGTATACTAAGTTCTTAAAAATTTGATGGTACTCTATATTTATAGGTAAACACAACTTTATATAAAATGTGCGTTTTTACATAAACTATAAACTCGTTATTTAACATTTAAAATTGGGCCCCCGAATGAAAATCCTGACTCCGTCATTGGTGCGTTACACAAAAAATAATATTAATAAATATAAATAAATAAGCTATAAATTATATATTATCGAGCATCTTCTCTTACCAACATTCTTCATTTGATTAACTTAGACTAAATAATATTTATCCTAATAAAATATTCTTAATATTGACATTCATATTTAATTTCAATTCTTGATTTGGTCTGACTAGATTGACCGATGACGTGATTAGCTACTATATCCTCCAAGTTGTCAAATAAAGAATTTGAGGATGAAAAATACATGTCATTTTAAACAGTTATCTTTTGTTAGTTAATTATTATTTATTATAAATTTATTTTTATAATTCACAATAAATATAAATATTTTTATATACTTATTTTTTATCATTAAAATACTTTTTACAAAACATCTGTGTAGTGCACGGTGTCCTACCTAGTATGGATTGAAAACTGAAAATTACCTGCCCACATAAGTACATTTACACACACATAATTACATTACTTGTACGAGTGAAAATAGACTGTTTTGGAATTGATGTGCTCCTGCCACGATAAATAATATGAATTGATTACGTTTTTTTTTTCTTTGAATCCATGTTTTAAATACCGTACGGATACCGGTGGTCCGACCGGTACGATTACACTTAAAATACCGTTTTGGCCAAAATATCGGTTTATACCGATTTCATACCGGACAATACCGGTTTTACCGGCCAAAATATCGGTCAAAATACCGTTTTATGCCATTTTTTTAAAAAAAAAATATTTTTAATATATTTTTATTAATTTATTTATATAAATTAAAAGTTCTACACTTAATTTTAATATGTTTACTTTGTTATTCAATGTTAATTAATTTTACTATTAGTTAAAGTTAGTTTTGTACATCATTTATATGATAATAATAAATTAATTTAATATTTATTGAAACCGGTAAAATAGACGATAATACCGGTCGTACCGGTTAAATCGCGTACCGTTGGCTCGTCCGGTATGATAACCGGTACAGTATTTAAAACACTGCTTTGAATGTCCACTTTGTAGAAATAAATTATTTCAAAGTGACCACATTTTTCTTAATATTTTCATAATGAATTAATTTTATCGTTTCGTACCACATGACGTAATCAATGTTTTGGTTTATTATTCCAATTTATTCCGGACATTTCCTTAAGATAGTTCACTTCAATTTATTTAGAAAATTTTATAAGAAAGTTCCAGATTTATACTCCTGTTTACATGAATATTTTGAAATTATATTAACAACAGTAGATTCAATTTCTCATCAAATCAAATTTAAAATATCACAAAAACTATCAATAACTATAAATCTATAGATCTTATCAGTCCATACATATATTACATATCTATTTTATGTAAACCAACATTTTTCATTTTCTATGAAAAAAAGTGTAAGGTTGAAAGATAAACTACATTTGGATTAAAAGTTGTTATAAAGTTAAAATTAACTTAAATTGTCTGTATACGAGGACTGCTTATAATCTAAAGACTCCTAATCTAAAGACTCCGTATTCTTGCAAAGCATTGAACAAAATCAATCCGAATCGGTTCAATCAGCTCAGGAATCTCGCCTATAGGCCCCTCTGCACGAGAAACTGGTCGAACATGACAGTCATAATATAATTAAAAGTATTCGTAGTATAAATGACGAGTTTTAAACGTTAAATTATTGAAAAATAAAGAAATTCTTGTAAATCATTGTCAAATTAGAAATTCATTAAGAAAAGAAAATGCAAGATAGATAAGATACTTTACAAAAATATTTGAACTATGACATTATTTTGCAAAAGAAATTACAAATAGGTTTAACATTGTGAAGAAAGTTTTACAATCCAAAAGATTTTCTATCTGCATATTATCATTACATGATGACTATGACTGAATCCTACAAATAATCAAAGCATAATCAAAGACACAGACTGATATAAACCCGACAACATTATAGATTGTGAATCGTGTTACACAAACAATGTTGGAAAATCCAACAATTATAAAATATTTGGCTACATTCAATCATACTGTTTAAATTCAGTTACATTCAATTATACTGTTTAAAGAGTATCAACAGATGTTTAAAGAGTATGTGTGTCTTTATATATTTATAAACACGTCATGTATTTTGGTTTTCATTGTTTAAAATTTTGATAAGTTGTATGTGTAATAACTTTGTTCATACAGTAAAGTAATTATATGTTATTATCTGAATGTTGTTAATAGGACCAACATTGCATAAACTCTTATTCACGTAACTAATTTTTTTAGAAACAATATGCCCAGGACAATTAATATATATTTCAAATAAACCACATCAATAAACCAGATTTAAGGTAAGGAAGAAATTGCACAACACTGAGAAGCAGATTCAGCATATCCATAAAACTAAAATTACACACAATACCTGAAACACACTCAAATAACACATGTACAATTTAACACACTTAATTTGCACTCAAATTCCACAATATGCTTGAATGGCTCCTTTCATGGTTGTCCCACCTTCCTTGCAGTAGTTAAGAAACTCCAAATTGCTGAATTCTCTGAACCTCAATGGATTTTCTTCATCGACTAGCTCATCGGGTACTTTCAAGGTCCCTCCAACAAAAGAGAAAATCCCGATCGAGTATTTCTCTTTCGCCCCTCTTGCAATGACTTTGTGCAAGGGACAATATATTCTACCATTGCTCCATGCCTGAATCATTTTCACATTTAGTCCATATAATCACAACATAATCAATTAAGTTTAAATCGATATTCACCAATAAATGTCGTTTAATTTAAGAACTCGACTTGTTTTATTTATCTTTTTTTATAATTAAAAATCGTGTTAATTACCGTGAGTGCTTCGCCTACTATGACGACGAATTTCCCAGGAGATGGCTCGTACTCGATCCAATTGCCATCGCGAGTTTCAATCTGCAAGCCTTTGACTTCATTTGTACCGATCACGGCCAAAAAGCTCTTGTCCCTATGTGGTATGATACCGATATGGCTTTTGTTCTCACCCGGCGCATGGTACCTCATCAGCCTCGTCATGTAAATCGACGATTGAGTTAAACGATCGTAACATTTTTCCAAATTGTAGCTGCTAGCCACCATCTTCACGATCGTATTATTCAATTCCCATAAAAGCTTGGAATATGAGTGTATTGTCTCACTATATTGAAAAAAAAATTGTTATTTAACATTATGTAT